AAGCACAACACAAACACTTTATGTATGTGACCGGCACGATGGAAGAGTCTAAAGGGTCACGCTGCCTGCGTCATAAACCTATATTGCGCTAGTCAAGAGCCAAGGAGGTCTGCGGTCGATGGACGGTGGTTTTACCCGCCGGCCGCCGTCCGTCCGCCAGAGATGGACGACATATCGCCGGTGGCCGTTACCCATCTACCGTGTGTAATGCGTCATCGGTAGGACATGCTTCGACGACCGCTATAGTCTACCGACTTGTGGGGCTTTCACGGGACCAGATACGGCAGTCCAAAGCTCCCCCGCCGGTCCTAGGAGAGATTGGCTTGACGAGTGACGACTCATACTGGGACGCGTGGCCCACTAACGGGTTGAACCGGCGCCAGTACCCCCGGAGAGCTGGAGGCACCACGGAAAGGGTCGGTGGCCCTTTCCGAGACCGTGTCACAGGCCAGGTACCACTGGTCTGAACCACAGGTCATTTGCTTGTAGCTGTCCACGGCTGGCTATTAGTTATTCACAAGCGACCCGACCTAACCGAAGTAAAGGAGAACCGGGCTTATCCTTGCCGCAACCCGGAGACGCATAGCTACGGCTGCTACTCCCACAGATAAGGTGGGCTGTGGTGTCTGTGGTGTATTCTTATTATTCCTTACATTTAAATGACACAAAGAGTAGGTATAGCCACTGACTTTTCGCGTTTTTACGATAACATTTAATCTTTGTATTCTATGAGGTACCTATTAACTAATAGGTACATAGTACCTATATGTATAACACTCCAATCATAATTTTATATTTTTGTTATCTGTTTCACTGGTGGCAATAAAAATATTACGTTATCAAAATAATGCTGTAGGAAAAACAAACTATAAACGATTCTCTGGTTTCAAACATTGCCGTTACTTTGATCAACACAGAGGTAATCAAACTGGGTGTGATGGCTCCAAAAGAGGCGAAAAAGGCTTAAAAAGTGGAGCTGTGACAGTGTGACACGAAAAGAAAAAATTTATAAGGATAATGCTATCAATATATTATTTTATTCTAAACGTAAAACGTTTAATTTCAGTTAGGCATAATTTATTACCTATTCAATTTTGACGCGGCCCGCATTAGTAGCGAGTACAATGTACAAGCACTATAGCGACTTGTCTATCTTGTCTCCATCTGCACTACTACGGGACACAAGCAGCGCGACCCGGTCGACTCTCCCACCGAGCCGGTAACAGCAAGACAGGACAGGGGACCGTGTCGCATAATGGTCGGGAGAAAGGCCGGTCGGAGATTCGAGATTCGATCATCGGACTGTCGGACAGATATCTCATCGTCCGACGTTCAACTCATCTCCCCAGCGGCACGTCGTGTATTATTATATTTTGGTCGTTATATTCTAATACATAATTTGGGACATTCATAAAGTGTTTGCGTTGTGTTTTTTCATCGCCTTAATCCTGACCAGACACTTCGACCGGACCACGATCAACATTGAAACAATCATCGGGTCCGCGTCAATTTGTTGTCTGAATATTATATAGGTGTGTTTATATAAAAAAATATATATATTTTTTAAATAATTAGACATTAAATTTAAAACATTATTTTCTTATTATTTGTCTATTATTTTAATGTTATTTGTGTTAATGTATTAATTCAGTTAGTACATTTATATTGGTATATTTTAAGTTATAACTTTATTACTTATAGTAATATACAGAATAATGAATGTAAATATCAAAACAATTATTAATTGATAAACCGACTCTTATAGTTCGATCATAGTAATAATTGTTTTGATATTTACATACATTATCTTGTAACATTATCTTATATTTTGTAACTTATTATATTTTTCAGTATATTATAACTTATATTTTCTTATTATAAATTTATTAGTTAAATTAATACACTGACACAAAGACATAATGTTGAAATAAATGTTTGGAATGTATTTGATGTAATATGTTAATTGTTAGTAGGTACATATAAAGTCGTGAGTCGTACAGTATAATGAAAAACATGAAGAGCCTAGAGCAAGACAAAAAAGGTTCTCAATTATCTTAAATAAGATATAAGATATCAAATGTAATAAAATGTGTAGAATGCGAAGCAATATAACAACGTACAATAATATGGGCGGTTTGCGTTTGGGTGAATTGCCTTTTTACCCGTATAATAAAAGTTATGTGTTTGGGCGAGTTAACCGAGTTTCTTATAATGTGTTTGGGCGAGACAAATTTGGTTTAGACAAATTCAAAAAAACAAAATATTGTTAAGAGAATATGGTACCAATTCCGAACTTGGTTTTTGGCTTAAACATTTTTTTGGATTACCATATTTACCATCCAATGAAGTAGGCGATGGTTTTTTGGAACTCATGTCAATTGCTCCAAAAACTCAAAACATCATCGAATCTACAGATTATATACTTGATACATATATTTCAGAGGAGGCTATTTTTCCTCCTTATTTATGTGCAAGAAAACCAGGAAATGATCCAAACACAACAAATGGAGCCGAATCATTCTATGCACATTATAATTCCTAATTTTATTCATCGCATCCAAATGTATTTCAAATAATTAATATGTTACAACAAATTCAAGTAGAAACTAACACAAAATACAATGCTTTAAATAAAAATATTTACAATATTCGACGAAAAGTCATATTAGAAAAACAAGAATATTTAATAACACGCTGGGATAAGTATATATCAGGTGAAATTAAGCTCTATATACAATACTACAAGGTTTTAATTACGAAATTGTTTACTTGTATGAATAAATACAATACGTTACGTTTTTTTGATTCATAATCCACATCATCTATAAATTGGAGTAATAATTAATAATTGCGTGTTTAATAAATGGCATGTGCATTGTGCAACGATACAATTCCCTATCCCAAGCACGGCTTTGTACACTTACAGCAATACAATTATATAAATTGTATAATTTATATACTATAAAATTATACAAAAAAATGTATAGCATTATACCAAATCCATGTCATGAGGTATTATTGCATACAGTATAATATACTATTGTAATTGTGGCAACCGTCAAAATGGTTGGTATTTACTAACTTTTAGTAAGCAGGTATATGTTTATTTGTATTGTCAGGAAAGCTTAATAAGTTAGTCAGAACGCGAGTAAAAGATCTTGTAAAAAAATGTGTTGGTAGTTATACGTACCTACTGATACTCTGTTTACCGAGAGGGCACGCCGATTCAGCGCATCCCCCCAGATCACCATGCTATCAAACCCCGTTCCCCAATGACAGGGTGTTGCGTTGGGGAACCAGTTTTAGTCGGTGCTCGGCGCGGTCTCTCGCTGAACAGAGTATATAGGTATAAGTTTTCTTTATCAAGAAATTATCTTATCTGAAATTATAATTGACGAATAAAAAATCCATTAAGGAAATGAGAGATTTATTTTATTTCCTAAAAAGTAGTGATTTTGACTTATTCCCTTTTACTCGCGCATCGTCCAAATTAAAGTTAGTGGTTGGTTTACTGTTAATCTTCCATAAAAACATCTTTCACCATATACTATATTATGTTAATAATACTTAATAATATCTAGTTCTAGCTTAATAGTTTAAGCTATACATAATAATAATAAAAAAAATAATAAACTATGAAGTAGGTACCTACAATAATAGGTAGACCTATAAGTGTATAACTCTTAAAGAAACTACCAAACAAATAATGGTATAGGTACAATATAACTATAACTTAAAATTATTTTATCACACACACGAATAGTTTAATAATAATAATAATATAAATATAAAATAGGTTCTTCATATAATAAAGAATGTGATATTTTATTTTTGGTTAATGTAAAATAGGTATACATAATAAATTCTCACTATCTATTCAAGAGCGGTGCTGTATAACCTTTGTCGTATAACATGGTATATCGGAAAAGGGGCGTACAAAACAAACATTTTAAGTTAAGATGACATTTTCAATATTTGAACGCATACTGTGGCAATGGGGAGTTAAGAATACTCAAACAGCATTAATGCACAATTTCTTTACTTATACTTGATTAATACTCTACTCTAAATACCCTACTAATTGTTATGAACTTATAGTTTGTCCACCAAGAGAACATACTACACCCCAACAAAAATCTGTTCTTCATCCTCACGCCACACTCTGCCATGGTGGCAGGTTTCGATGGCAAGGTGTCGAGTGTGGATGCGCTGAATTGACGTGTTTCTTGGCTGAACAGAGTAGGTATAGGTATACTTATTTTTTCTAAATATATTTTTTTTTTGCCAATAGATGATCTCCGGGCAGAGACACTAGTTCGAATACAAATTATTGATAAGCAATAATGGCACTCCAAAATAACAAAAAATATATATATTTTATATTTTATTGTCAAAGTTATAAAACCCAAACTCAATACATTAATATCAGAAATTATTCTAGACATTTTTTTTTATTTCCTTCTAAACTTGGTTTTAAGATTGGTGACATAAAAAAAGAGTATATTATTATGGTATTAAAAGTAGGTAGTTGCTAGTGTTACTGCCTTAGAGTAATAATAAGTTACATTACATTAATATTATTAAGTTTTCTAACTAGCTACAAACCATATTTTTATTAATGATAAGTGTTAAAAACTGACAAAGAATGAGTACCTGTACATAAAGGTAGCAGTGTTTAAAATATATAAGTTATACAAATTATCTTACAATAAATTCTAAGAAGTTAGAAAGCTAGTTTTAATAGCTTGGTATGTATTTGAAACACCTGTTCATCTGTGTCCCCAATTTAACAATATAACATTATAACCCACCCATCACAAAAAAAAGTAATTTAAAGAAATATGTATTTATGTTGTTAATTGAAGAATTTACAAAAATAAAAAATATGGGATGCACAAAAATATCTTAGTAAAGAACACTAGTTTACTACCTACTATACAACAATGAGGGCTTATACTTGAAATGGAAAAAGTTCAGCTAAGTAGGTAGATAATATTAGTTCATCCGTCATCTTCAACGTGTATTACATCATTTACTCTAAAAAGGCAGTTAAATTAAGTGTATAATTTACATAAAATGTAATATGAATAATATCATAATACTAACTGATATTGTGCATCGAGTTGGTATTTCATATCTGTTAATTTTGCCTTTAAACTTTGATTTTCTAAAAGGTTTATTCCTGCTTCAAAAATCACACGTACTAATGATGGGTGTCCGTACATATACTCAAATTTCATGCAATCGTACCATAACTCTATAAGGATTAATTTAAAATTATTATTAATTTAAATATATTCATTAGGTACCTATTGGAGAGATCAAAAATGCCTTACCAACGTCCACTTGTCCAAATAAGTCGCATGCTTCATTGTATAATTTCCTCATATAATTAATATGTTTGATTTCTTTAGGAATTATATTCAATGTTTCATATTGTAACATTCTTTTATACAATTTGTGACATTGTGGCTTTAGACATTTTAAGGCGTTGAAAAGTGTTCGTGCTCTCCCTATGTCATGTATTAGAACCTGCCTTTCTAAATATGCAGGTCGGAATCTCAAATTAATTACTTCAACATTCACAACGAATGAGGATTGATTGTAAAAATATTCGATCTAAAAGCAAATAAAAAAAAAAAAAACTATAAAATAATATTACAATATTACTTCAATTTAATATTGGATGGGACATTTTTCAACTCTAATAATTTAGTGTCGAAATATCGTTTTATTTGGAAGTACCTACAATTTAGTATAAAATATAAATCACCTAACCTGGACTATATATTATATAAAATAACTTATGTAGATATTATAATACAAATTATATATTCGTTTAAATATAAAAGTAAGTTGTTTTAATTTGCAATAAAAATGCAAAATTATAAACACAAAAAAGGTGCTCTGCTGTACAGTAGCCAGTAGGTTACAAGTGGGTCAATGTATTAATAAATAAATAAATTTTTAAGAAAAACGATTCTGAGTGGAGGCGGTATGTCAGTCTAGGTATAAGACATATTATATACCTACTTATCTATGGTATTAAAAAAAAATTAATTATAGTGATACTATCATAGATATATAATAGTGTACTTTAGAAGTTTCAAGTTCCCACGAATAATATTATACAACCACAACAAAATAACTAAAATAGTAATTCTAGGTTTTTAATATGTAATTTCGTCCAAATTTGAACTTAAAATGACTGTAAAAATAAACTGTGCTAATATAGTTTTTAGATTTTTTAGTAACAGAATTAACTACTAACGTGGAATCTTGTTTTAAATTTTCAATCCTTAGATATAAAAGTTGAACATTTTATACATTTTTAACTACAAAATAATTATTCAATTTTAAATTTTGTAAATATTTGATCTTTAAATGCTTATAAAAAAAAAATTGTGTCAATATATTTTTAATATTTTTCAACTAATATTGTAACAATATATCAGGAGCCTTGTTTTAAATGTTTACACTTTTTTGCCCAACAGATAAAACTTAATTGATATTTATAGAAAAAAAAAACTAAACAAATTGAAAACTGAAAATGTCCGTAAACAGCTCAAAAAGAGTCAAAATATTTTCAAAATTGTATAGTGTATAGGAAATGCTAATATAAACATTCAGTAAAATTTTGATGTACCTATCTACAGTCATTCGTTTTGAAATTACAACAAAATAAGGAAATCGCTACACGAGAAATCGAGTGAATATCCAATGTTGTAAAAATTTGAATTTCAAACGCTAATAAAAATTTAATTTGACCTTCTTATAGACATTTTTTTTTTGATGAAGTTATCTAATCTTATAAAGTATTTTGTATTACATTTTAAAATCTTAGATTTAAAAAGAAAAATTTTTACGAATTCTTAACTCAAAATAATTTGCTAATATTCTTGATTTTTCCATATTTTGTCAATGTTTGAACTTTAAATGCTTATAAAAAAAAAACTGTGACTAAGAAATTTTAATATTTTTTATCTGCCTTTAAAACAATATACTAAGAACCCTCTATTAAATTTTCAAGCTTTTTTAACCAACAAATAAAATTTTATTGATATTTATAGAATAAAAAACTACAAAAATTGGAAACTAAATTGTCCTTAAACCGCTCAAAATAAGTCGAAATATTTTAAAAAAGGCATGGTGTATAGAAAAAGCTAATATAAACAGTCAGTAAAAATGTATTCTAAATTCGTATGTATTGATGTAGAATAAATATAAAAATAGGAAAAAAAATATAAAAGCAATGCAAAATGTTGGTTCACCGTAACCGCGGTTCGAATTATAGACATTCTATACTAAAATACACAGAAGTGTCACTGCGCCAACAGGCTTGTTACTTTAATATTAATAACTATTATTAAAACCAATATCAACCATTTACAAACAAAAATTTCCTTCCTAAATCTTATAATCCCTGTTTGAGCACCTCCCCGGGTTGGAATTACCCTTTTAAAATTAGCCTATCTTGTCATTTTTACAAGCAACGGAGTGCGCGGGTAGTGCTTTATAAAACTCTGTCAAATTCCAATGTTTTAAATACATCGGAGAAAAAAATCTGTTTTATTTTATTATTTAAAAAACGGTAATATTAATGAAACACAATCGAGTGAATTTGTTATTAAAATAACAACAAAGAAGTATAAGAATTTTCTAAACCCAATATTTCAAAAATATTTTTGCTCTAATAAATATTACTAAATAGTATTATTATTGTATGCTCAAAGTAGGTAGGTTTACAGGTACTTCAAGTTAATAATCATATACATATATTTAGTTTATAATGGTACCATATATATACCATTTGCTCGCTACAGCTTAAGGTATATAACTCCATAATTTCCCATAAAGGCAAAGCTTTGTCTTTAAGTATATCAACAGATTCCAACAAAATTTTCATTGCACTTCTCACACGATCATGGTGTAAATAATATTCAAACAACTTTGTCCACATCTCAAAGTTATCGTTTGAAATGTTCAGTCCTTTCCTTAGTATCGCTACCTCAGCGTCTCCGCCATTATTACGTTCTGCCTACATAAATAAATAAATACATATTATGTCATTTAAATAGAAATTTCAAATTAGATTTCGCCTTACCCAATAAAGAAAATGTCTGGGATGTTTCATAAAATTAGTGGAATATGCTAGAGCATATGTTCGATCAATACATTTATTCATAAAATCTTGAGTGACTTGATCGTCACTATCAATTGAACTATAAATATCTAAGATATCATCCAAAAACAAATGCCATATATTTTGTTTGATTTTATTAGATAAATTCTCTGTTAAGGCTTTATCATAGGTATTAATCCAGTTCCTAGAAACTAAATATTTTAGTACCAAATAATACAATTATTTTAATAATATATATTCTAACCTTATAGAAATGTGTAGTCTCATGCTCTGAATTTTATGTAAAGTGTCTCCATCGTAGTTGTAAATAAACCCATTTAAATGGATTCTAGCTAATTTTTGCCACATGAGTTCATTTCTTCTGTATTTATTCACCATATCTCTATAAAGTTGATCATCAATACACTGATAATTTTTAACTTAATAATTAGTCCATAGGTACCTGATTATAATACTCTGTAATTGTGTAATTTTTATGTGTTCGTCTAAAGCTGTATCCACCAAATCAAAATGTAGTTCAATATCATCTTTAAAATGCTGAATAATAAAGTTATATTTTTTTAAAGTTGCTTGAAGAGAAGTGTCACCTGTTTGGTTTAAATGTTTAACTTCAATCCAAAATTCTTCAACATATAATTTTTTTAAATCTTCATGATATTTTATTCCAAATGAAATATATCGCCTGGCAGATACTATGTCGTTACAATCATCTAAAGCATGACTTGCGCCTGTTATGTATATATCTGGATCACTATGAAATGAATCCATTATATCATCCAATACAATTTTGTAGTTTTTAGTTAATTTTTTCTGAAATTATAAATATTTCATAGTTAAGACAGTTAAGTGAATATTATGTTTAAATATTATTTTATTTAACCAGTATAATTAATTTTATATAATTAGGTAACATATAAGGAAAGTGAGCTAATCTAATACTATTCTTAAAATACTTAATAAATATCTTAATATCTAGTTAGGTAGGTATACTGCAACAATTTAACAACTATTTAACAATTATTTATTGTGTATATTTAGTTTTAAGGGAAGTGGAGGATCTTAATCTTATAAACCTGAACCATCTATTGATTCTTCTAAGGCCGAATTGAACCTAATATATGGTACGAATTATATATAATATAATATATAATCCGGAGATTTGGTCTCAAGGAACTTTGATCGTCCAAGCTATTAAACCATATTCGACTTCATTTGAGCTTTATAGACTCTTTCCTACTAAGACCCAAATAAATTACATAATAAAGATAAACTAAAACATATTATATATTTTCCAAAATAAAAACGTTCTTACGCACATCAATGCGCATTATGACATGTGCATGTGCGTATGGGTGCGGATGTTACGCGTTTTGAAAGTGTTTGCACGCACATTAATGGTAATTTACTACCTAAGCACACCATCAATATTCGTATGCACTTTCATATTTCCTATATTGAACTCCTTAAAAACGAACTGTTTGCAATAAACTAAAATAGAACTAGACTACTAGAGCAAAGTATTTGAAACGTTGAAAATAATTGATTTTCTTTTCAAATGTAATTTTATAAGTCAATAGGTACTTAATAATAACTAATAAGCATAAAAATCCTCAACTATTCCCACTACTTTTCCCAATACTAATTAATCTAGTCAATAGTACAATGATAATACAGGCAATACAACTAATAATTTATTTATTATACACTGATAAATAATAGAATTAAGATAAATATATATAATCCACTTATAATATAATATCGATTGAGTTGCATAAAAATAAAAAAACAAAATTACTTAAGTAAAGAGTTATTGGTGATTTCTCAGTTCACCAAAACCCAGTTAGCTGATTAGAATTCATGTTGTTAAATACAATTAACAAAATTATTTATTTTTACACATAGAAAATATCTGGTATAATAAAAATAAATATTATATAATATAATAATTTGAGGTATCACACCATTGGGGGTGTCAGCACCACTGGGTTCACAAATTTCGATACTATTATAGTTACATTGCTTTTTATACCAAGAAGTACGAAGCCCATATAAATTCATCGTTGTCGGTGAATTAGGTATTTTTAAAAACCATTAAAAACTGTATTTTTGTTCGACAAATTAAGTGTTGGCAACTAACCATAACCAAAACTATAAAATTAAATTAAAAAATCTTTTTTTTTGTAAATTAGGTAGGTACTATAAATTTTTATTCAATTTTAATCCATCAATTGAAAATAAAAAAATCATTTGTATAAACTATAATATTATACAATAAGCCTTATAATCTAAACTGTATTTTAACTTACATTTTCCAAACAAAATTGAATATATTTTGAAACCAAATTTACATCATATCTGAATGTCTTAAACAGTGTAATGTACATATCGTGTATTCGATTAGATAAAATAGATTCAACTTTTGTGATAATATCTTCAGTATAAGCTTCCCGCATTACTTGCTGCACATAAAAAAAATTGTAAATATCATGTTATTCTAATCTGCTGTAGGTAACTTTTATAGTCTATACCATTGGTTTTCAAACTTTTATTGAACGCGGCACACCGTGGTCCACAAAAAATGTTCAAGGCACACAGACCTTTTTATTTTTTTGCACTAAATAATTAGATGAACAAAATTATTTTGAATTATAATCATATAAGTACATTTAATTAGAAATGAGTGCTTGGCGAATGACGGGCTAACAAATTTTTATTATTTTATTCTTGGACGAATAGTTGAACTTTCCAAAAGACCGCGGCACACTCAGTGAATTCTCGAGGCACACCAGTGTGCCGCGGCACCCAGTTTGAAAACCACTGGTCTATACTATACACTTATAAAAACACAGACGTTCAATTACTGTACGTATTATTTATTTATTAGTTAATATATTATATTCTAGCTTTCTGAAAATGTATAAAATATAAATAATCAAATTCTGAATACAACTAGTATCTCAAATTCAGCATAATTTGCTCCATCACTGTAATAAAAATTACTATTTGCTACTGGCTATTTGTAAGTTTAGTAAAGTTCAATAGGGATTTTAACTACTATTCTTAATTGGTAGGAAAAAAACGATTACGCCGTTGTAAGTATTCTGTTGCCCAGTGGCACCGAAGTGTTTAAAATATACTATGACATCATACATCGAGCCATCATCTCCCCCCCCCCTTTTAAGTTACCCATTTGGGCTGGTCAAACTTTTGCCTCCCTTTTAAAAAACTGAAAAGACGCCACTGCTGTTGCCCAGTTATTATTTTTGGGAACCATTTATAAGCGAAAAATTATGATACTCTATGAACACACATTACATAATAATTACAGTAGACCTCTATAATACGAGCTTACTTTAACTTTCTGTTCACATGTATTTAATATCATCGATTCGAGTGTTATTTGCACCAATAATTCCTCTCTTGTTGCTTTTCCGTTCAAAATATTCTGGTTAAATGATTTACGGTTGGCAGTGAACTCCCTGTTAGACAACAAATAATTACATTTACATCAATAATGTAATATGTAATCCAAATTTTATCGTGGCTTACGTAAATTCTTCAGCGGTCATAATTTCGTGGGTGATTAGAAAATATTTTTCATCGTCAATCAATCCAGATGATATGGCCTCAGAACCACTGGCCGTTTCCATCGCAAATTAATAAAATGATCACGTTCAAAACGGGAAGAAATTCACGTAAGACTGGCGAAGTTCCCTGCAAACATCGATTGGCAAAAAATCTCTCGCAAATGGAGAAACACAACACTTGACGCGAGTGTTTCGAAATACCGACTGACGTAAATGATGAAAGACCGGTCGCAGCGACCCACTTGGCCCAATGGTAGCTAAGACGCGGGTATCCGTTAGCGGTCGATCGCAAAAAAACACATGGAAGAGAAAATCGACGCGCACAGCGATATTACGGCCGTATTATCATCCATCGAATTCTAAACCGTACGAGCGTGTGTTATCAATTTTGTATGCGATGACCGATAAGGATGACCCATAATCCATAAGTATGTATACATTTTTAGTATGCTTTCATTTGCACGGACTTAGCTTTTAAAACAGGCGTTTATATATTATAGGGAACCACACCGGAACGAAAATCACCAGCGATAAAGCAGAGGTACAACACCGCTGCGGGAAACTGCTGAGTGCTACAATTTTACAGCCACCGTGGAGAGATTTAGGTATACCTATACAACTATTCAGATAAAGGCTATTCAGGTTAACAGGGGCCAATATCCTGATCAACAAGGGCTGAATAAGATGAACTTGAGGGAATTGAATATTTTATCATACAGCCACTAAGGAAGGTACTCATAACAATATTCATAGATATTTTTTATTAGTGGATTATTAAAGATTTGGTCGTCTGTGCTAAGCATTATAGAACTTTTAATGGACAACATGGAACAATGGACTACATTGGAATTAGTTTATTAGAATTTGTTTTATTAAACCATCTAATATTTATTAATTTGTTCATAGAAATATACAGTGGCAGATCAAGATCATTTGACGCCCAAGACTGATAAAAAGTGACGCCACTAGATATAATACCTATGTTATGTTACGTCTTTCATTTCACAGTACAAAACATAATATGATTACTATTATCAAAATGGTACATTTTATAAGTTTAATATCCTTTTATACAATATTTCATATTTAAATAAAATTAAAAAATGCTCACTTATTAGTAATTATAATATTTATAATATACATGCATATATTAATGCACGTATTTTAATATTTTAAAAACGTATTTCTCCAGCTTTTGTCGCAACCAACATGTTTATATTATTTGATTTGTCTTGAAATTGTATACTCTAATTTTCTATAAAACACATTCAAACATAATATAATCACATAATAGCAGTTTGTAAGTACATGTACATACAGTATACAATAATTTAACTGTAACTAAATGGTGAATGCATAGGTAATATTGTTTTTTATACATTAAAAAATATAAAAAATTGGTATTTTTAATTCAAACTAGGCTTTTAAATTTTTTTTTGTAATTAATATCAGAACTATAAAAAAAATGCCAGAAATCCAATATTCAAATTTCCTACTCCACTAAAATCGGTACTGAGTGTATATGTCATTATATATAAAAGTAAATAGTGTGTCATATTATAAGATGCGTATGATAATCTGCGTATGATAATCTGCATTATATCGATATGAGTGATTTCGCTTAATATTGTAGTTTCAGGTATACTAAAAAATTGTTGTCAGCGAGCTATTACTTCACTCAAAAATTAGGTATATCATCTTCCTAATCGATCACTATACTCTCGTATTTATTGAAAACATTTTATTCATTTGGATCGTTTATTTTTTTTATCAAGATTATGGCGCTATCCGTATACTTCAATAGAACTCTATTAGAATATTTAATTGATAGATAGTACTATAGTGCTAGTTAGTTCATATAAAAACAATTTAATAGAACCACCGACTAGGTGCGGACAGAAGGCAACTGCCGGTTGGCTGCCTTCGTATTATGGTTTTGTAGCCCCTATGAGGTCTTTAAGCCTTTCTTTGAAGGCCTGAAGTATAAAAAGGGCTGGTTGGTCTGTAAACCAATGCCGTCCGACCCTTTATTAAAAATGCTTCGGATGTTAAATCATTTTATCCACGGCTTAAAAAATATTTGGTCTCATTAATTACAAAACATTGCATTTGAAAAACGAATCTGTGTACATGGAGTCGGTCTGCCTGCTAATATAACTTACTATACTTTTTTACATACGTATTTGTATTGCTATTAGAGTAATTTATTTTAGTATAGATATTAGTAATACGGTAGTTTGAATTATTTTTTTCAAAACCATTGCATTTTTTATAATATAGTATAATACGTTTCGGTAATTTTTATTAACTTTTAAAAACTGTTTTTTTGGTCGATAAATTGTATGTCATTATTAAACTGGGCATAGAACATAAGCCATTAGGGCTATTTGGTTGTTGAATTTATTGTAGGAATATACCTAAAAATGACTATTTGGCCTGTCGTTATTTTTCCCTTACATAAAATTATACTAAAGTGTAAAGTACTTAATATTAATGACACCAGCTTGATAGTCGGGGCTTTGCTGACTCAGTGACATTATTGTGTCGCGCATTCGCTCGTTCGCCTGATCCGAAGGATCGTATAAATGGCGGCAGTGCTCCCCCTCCATTTCGCCAGTTCTCGCTTGGCCACCGAAACACACCTGACCTTTAACTGGAAATGCTTGGGATGGGTAGCGGCCACGCTCCTTGGGGTAAATTCAAATGAGTAATGACTCAATATAACATTCGTTTCTATATACCTATGTCGTCTTAGTCTCGTCGTTAAAATGCCATTTCCTTGTTCCCTGGCAACGGCGGTATCGATCGATTTCGCAAGTTTTCATCAACGCCACGAAGGCGATTGTTACTGGTTATGTCGCACGAGTGTGCGCGGTGGTAGGTCAAACGGCTGCCTTTGAGTTCAATGACATCTGGATTATGCCTCCCCTAACTTAACGCGTCCGTTATAGGCTGCATGGTGAGCCGGCTGTCAAGCCATCTACTGGTATAATGTATGATGTTAGCACAATGGTGGCGTCTGGCACGGAGAGTAAAATGTATTTTTAATAAGGGGAAGTCTGGTGTTTTCAGCTGTCCAGGAGTTTTGACTGGTATAACTGTATAAGTATAGTTATAGTAAAGCCTATAGTTTATTACGTATAATATACAGTATAACGGTCATGGGGGCGACTGCGATAGCACAGTCTTGCAAAAGAAAAATCTACCTTACTAGGTAATTATGTTTTTTTTATAAAACATACTTTGTGATCATGTATAGTGAATGTTTTGTTTATAAAAATATTGTCAATATTGAATAATTTTATTGTGGATGAATAAGGAATGCCTTCTTTTCAACAAAATGTTTTGCTTTAAATTTTAAAAGCCAACTCACAATCTTAATGCTGGTTTATAATGAGTTCGATAACGTCAATCATATTATATATTATATTAATCATCGATATTTAACACAATCTTCTTATCAAAAATAATGTTTGGAAATTGGTCCACAAATAGTATGTTATATTAATTGTGTCCGCAATTCGTATGTAACCTTTTGAGATTTCGTCCGCAACTCATATAGTTTTTATTACTCTGTCCGCAATTAAGGAATACGGATTCGAACAACGGATTGATCAAAATAATTAAGTATTTTATAAAGTGGTCTGCATTATTCGACGATGAATTTTTCAAGTATAATTAGAAATCATAATATCAATATGCACTTTATTTTACAATATTAAAATATAATATAATTATACAACTATTTATTATTTCACGTAATGAGAAAACCATATAGTTTATTTCGAATTGAAGCCTTATATTTTCATATTCTAGAAACTGGAAAGATTCTACGATTTTGTACAAATGCACGTTTTACTTCGATCTAGTAGCGTACACCGTTATTATAGCAGTTATATTATCAAAAAATTATGTAAATAATGTCTTCGTTACAGTGAATAGTACCGTGGTGTTAATGATATGGATAAATTAATAAGGCAAGTATATTGATATATTGGCATCAATAGATAATAGTAAACAGTAAACGTAAAGTAAATAACTCTACAAAACGATTAGTTTTGTATTTTAAACTATAATCGTTTTATAATATAAAATAAGATACGTTATAAAATGATTGATTAAGCCAATTGACATATTGGTATCAAATATCAATAGTAATAGAAATTGTATAGTGAATAATAATTAAAAATATAATAAAAAAAAGAAATTGGATTATCGAATTATATTATGGATCAATTATTTTAATATTTGACAATTAATTGACACAGTATTCATTTTATTTCATACCTATCTTTTATTATTGTAAAAAAATATTTTACTATTTAAAAGTACAATTGTACAAACTATTTAAATAGTTATCATAGTTATGATGCATTTTAATGAAAATATATTTTATAGATATTTTATTTTATTAATTATACGTTATTTTGTGAACCAATGTGTTTGGATGCAATCAGTATACTAATATTTGGGATAAAATACGGCTACCTGAGTTCGGGCCGCAATCGGGTATTTCCGATATTATGTACCCACATAATGATTTAAGGTGTAAGTTTGTTGAACTTCCTGTTATTTGATTTAGATATTTTTTTATAACTTAATACAGAATTAAGTAAGTATAGGTAATATACTATAAATTGGTTTAGATTTATTTTGTATTTAAATTATATTTCTTCCATAATAAGATTTTTAGAACCAAACTTGGTCTGAAGTCCAATTTAGTTCAATAACCATCCATTTTAAATTGAATAAAATCCAAAATAATTGTCACAATTTTTCACCAAAAAATTCACCATATAGTTCTCGATCTATGTTTAACATTTCATAAAAAAATTCCACATAAAGCAGGGACTTATACCCACCTATACTGAATTGTGAAACAGTTTCAACTTTCAATGGGAACTGCGAACCGCTTTGATTTATTAGGTGAATTATATTATTGTTTGTACTGCATGTTTTTAAATAAATGTTTCTGTGTCTTGATTTAAGATTATAATATAAAATAAACTTGGTACCTTGCAAACGTTATTACGCTCATAATTGTACACAAACATTGTGTGGTG